AAACTCTTCTACGGCTTTCATGTTCCAGATAACATTCCTGTCATAGTCTTACACAATTATTCTCCAGAACTCTTTTCAAATTTCTCTAAACTCTTTAATAAGTGCTTTACTGAGTCTTATTTTCCTGCTGCTGAAATGGCACCTGTTGTTCTAATTTTTAAAAACTCTGGTGAACATTTTAGCCCCTCCAATTATTGTTCAATCAGCTTTCTTTCTGTTATTAGCAAGGTCTTTGAGTCTTTGATAAACATATTTCTCGAATCCCATCTTGATTCAAATAACTTGCTGTCAGACAATCAAAACGACTTTTGATCCTCTTGTTCTATGGCTGACTCGCTAACTCCTGTGACTGATAGATTTTATTGTTCATTAGATGGAGGTAAAGAAGCTAGGACTATTGCTCTTGACATATCTAAGGCTTTTGACAAATTTTTGGCATGTTGGTCTTCTCCATAAGCTTGTTTCATATGGTTTATCTGGGAAAATTTTTGAGATTATCAAATCATTACTTTCTAACCGCTTTATTAGAGTCATCCTTGAAGGTCAACACTCTTCTTTATTTCCAGTAACTTCTAGGGTACCTCAAGGTTCTATCCTAGTTCCTATTTTATTTCTTATCTACATTAATGATCTTTCTGCCAATCTTACATCTAAAGTAGCTCTTTTTGCTGATGATCTCGATTTGCTTAACTTTATACTCCTGTCTTGACAAAATGTCTTCTTTTATTGATCACTTAGAACAGGCAGCTGATCTTGAATCTGATCTCACTTCTGTAACAGATTGGGCTCACAGTGGCTTGTACTAACATGGCCGCTGCTCAAAGGAGCTTTCATCACTAGTTTCATGTGTCTTCTGCCAACCATTTTCTTGCTCTATAACTCTATTCATTTTTCTAGAAACTCCCAACATAATAGCAGTTGCTTACAGTCTTGTTCGGAGTCAATCAGAATAAAAATAAAAATAAAAAAATATTTTCTTTTTTAATTTTTTTAAATTTCAAATTTTTAATGAAATATCTCACCTGTTTTAATATATATATATATATATATATATATATATATATATATATATATATATATATATATATATATATATATATATATATATATATATATATATATATATATATATATATATATATATATATATATTAAAACAGGTGATATATATATATATATATATATATATATATATATATATCCATTTATATCCATTTATATCCATTTATATCCATTTATATCCATATATATCCATATATATCCATTTATTTCCATTTATATCCATTTATATCCATTTATATCCATTTGTATCCATATATATCCATTTATATCCATATATATTAGGGTGTGTCAATTATCCATATATATTAAGGTGTGTAAATTTTGCTTTGCAAAAAAAATACATTAAACATTTTTGTAGTAGGGACAAAACATTTCTTTGACATGAGGGTATTGGATGCACCCTAATATATATATATATATATATATATATATATATATATATATATATATATATATATATATATATATATATATATATATATATATATATATATATATATATATATATATATATATAAACAATTTTAAAATGTATTCTACAAAATAGAGTGCTCAATATTCTTAAAAGAACAGAGCAATTATAAAGTAATAGAAAATCACTTAGTAAAAATTTTTTTCATTTAAAACAGTGTCTCATCAATAAAGACTCATCAGAAATCATTTCTGATGAGTCTTTATTAGGGATGTACCGAAGCTAAAATTTTGCCGAAGCCGAAGCATCGGCCGAAGCCACTTTGCCGAAGCCGAAGCTTCGACACTATATATGCTTAAAATTTAATCAGCATTCAGATCAGCAGGGGTGTAAAACAAAAAAGGTTCCAAAACTAAGATCCTTGACTAATAATATAGAAAAAATGTATAAAAATGAGGACACAAGTCAGGGTTGCTGCAACAGGCAAGGCAAAAGCTCTCAGCGCCCCTGTTTGAAAGTTTCTCATTATGTCGTTTCTGATACTTCACCGCACCTAGTGTTTTTTTAAAACTTAAGCTTTTATAAAACATTCTACCCAAATTTTCCTACTTCTAGTTCTACTTTTTCTGTGTGCAAACCATATTAATGTTATATAGTGCACAATATCAGTAACTCACATATATTTTCAACTATTCCCAATATTCTTCTAAGATTATTGCTATTTTTTTGATCTTTTATAGCCATACTGTTCTTCTATGTAAACATCGTTTCTCTTTAATCCTCTATCTAATCATCTAACTTTTAATTCTCTATTTAATCATCTTGTTTGCTCTATCTATTTATCGTGTGCTAGCTGAACATCTTCAAATTTTATTCCCCATAAATTACTGTTACGCATCTTTTCATGTGCTGTATATTTTATTTTTATTTTTAATGCACCTTTTGTTAAGAGTGGATAAAAATCTCTGAATATTACTCAAGTAAATTTATCTTTTACACTTGAACACTTTTTCTAAATAAACACTC